GTTTTCTTTACATTGAACTGTAATCCATCCTGAAGGCTGCAATCAGCAAGTGTTTCAAATCCTCCTCACATTCAGGAAACAAGGTGTGTCAACTGCACATCACAAAGGTTCTTAATAAACCCTCCTCCAATGTGGTGCCTCATTCTTCATCATGTAATCCAGCTTCTCTGATGATTTGCTAAGCCTTTCCTAGGGAGAACCATGGGACTCTCTACTCCCATGAAGAGATAGTCTTAGAAACTCACAGGGCAGTTCTACCCTCTCCTCTAGGGTCACTGTGAGTTGGCATGGACTGGCTGGCAGAGACTCGCCATGAATAGAGAGATCCAGAGGTAAGTGCTTGTACAATAATGCTACCAAATTCTTCCCTCAGAGAAGGGGATTAAATCGATTGAATTTTTCTCAGCATCACCCTCAACTTCTAATATCACGTGTATAGAAACCATTCCTTCCAAAACAATTTGAAGGCTCAGTCCTCAGACATTTCTTTACACCGAATCTCACACTCACTGCCACCAAATCAATGCTGACTCATAAGAGACGGGACACGACAGCGTAGAACTTCCGGGTGGGTTTCCAGGAGAGCCATATCTTGCTCCCACTAAGGCCGCAAGAAACACTGGGATGGATGACATGACTCTAAAACGTGGGTGAGAAACTTGAACAAAGGAAGAGAAGCCACTGGGAGTTCTACTTGCACAGAGATCTTACAATCTCCTGGAGAAATGGCCAAATGCAATTAGAAGCTTACCAAGACCCTAAAGTAAAACCCTGAACAAAAATGGGTAACTCATTGTCTTTCCAACCAGCTATTATGTTAATGGCTGTTTTTCGGGAAACAATAACACCCAAAAGGCAGAGACTGGATCTAAGGGCCTGTCATCGGTCCTGGTCTTGAAGAAAAGGAGTGATGTTCCCACTCATTCGCTGCCTCTTGAAGTGTGAGCTGGGACAGATGCTCAGACATAATCAGGTAATAGCGTTTCCGTGCATCCCAGAGCGCACTGCACCGCAGGGGGATGTTTTTCAATAGCAGTGTCCTGGATCTCCTCTTCTCTGCTATCTCCTCCTCATAAACCATGAAGAACTCTAACTAAACCCACTACCACTGTCTGATTCGTAGCCACCCTATGCAGGATTTCTTTGACTATGAAACTTTACAGGAGCAGACAGCCTCGCCTTTCTCCTGAGAAATGGTTGGTGGGTTTGAACCACTGAACTTGTGGCTACAGCCCAATGCCTAACCCGCATTAAGTTTGATAACAACACTTAGTTTTCCAGAGCTGCTGTAACAAAACACCACAGAGTAGGCGGCTTAAAAAAAAAAAGCTTGATCCCCCCCCACCACCACCACACACACACACACTTTTGGAAGTTAAAAGTCCAAATCAGGATCTTGGCCTAGTCAGATCCTTCTGCAACTTTTGAGAGAGGAAATGGTCCATGCATTCCTTCATGGATTTTGAAAGTGGCTGCTGAAATCTTTGTTGCTCTTTTGCTTGTTGATGGATCTTCACATACTGTCCTCGTCCAGTCCAGAAGGCAGTAGAATTAGTACTCACTCTACGCTGATGGGGGAGAAATGTGGGGCTTTCACCTACAATGAAGCTCTACCCTGTCCTCGTAGACCACTTTGAATTGGTATTGGCTTGATGGCAGTGAGTTTGCTGTGGTTTCTGGTCTACTCTGGTATGCTGTCAGCTGGCTTAACTGATACAATGAAAAACCTTAGATTCAAACAAGGTCACATTCACAGGTCTAGAGGTTAGAATTTCAACCTATCTTTGGGGAGGATTCAATTCAACTCATGAAACATCATCCATGCTCAACCAGCTTATCAAAAGCCAGGTCTACTCAAGAAGGACCAGCATTCCTTGTCAATACGGACATAAATACACATGGACACCAGCAAAGCAAGATTAAATTCTCTCCACAGTAATGTTTCATTTCTTAGTGTTGCTTCAATGTGCACTGTTGTCACAAAGTCTTACAAGATTGAACAGTGCTCTTAAATATCAGTCAGTGTCATGACCGATCCGGTACTGATTTATTTTTTTTCTTCCCTGTTTACAGGAGGGGAGAGGATGAAGGTGGTGGCAGAAGTGGCCATCCTACCATCACCAGTGGATACAGAGGGGCAAAACATCAACCTAGTTCAAGGGTAAGGCAAGGAACGGAGCCGGCCAACAGGCCATTCTAGAGAAAGTGACCTGGGATAATCCGAGAGGGAGCTAAGACTGGACAATGGTTTTACAAAAGATCTTCCTTTAACATAAAAGATGTTTGACAATAGCTGTTATTCAGATTCTCCAAAACAAACAATGTTTGCCAACAAGAGCGGTTCTATGTACTTAAAGGATAAATAAGAAAAGAAACCCTTTCAATTAGCACTTAAAGAGATTCCTAAGTAAATCATATATGAGATTTGACTACCTCATATTTACCTGAGTGGAAATATAAACATATTAACATGCAAACACAGATAGTGCTTTGACTTCCTCTGCATTTTTCCTGAACGGATTTCTCCCACATGATAAGCAGGCCTCTACTTCAGCAAGGAAAATCCACCCCCAGGTCAAAAGCAATTTTCTCACAGCCTAATTCCTTTCTACTGGTCACTGCAACACTTTCCTATAACCACCCAATGTGTGCCTATGACTGGGAATGGTACTGTGCACTCACTGTTTAACATGCACTTTAGCTTTTCAAGATACTGTTGGAAGCAAAACGATCCTTTATGGCATTCTGTAACAGTCTACTTCATTTATTGCTTACTAGAATTTCTGTCAATTAAGTGATTCCTTTCACACACACACACACACACACACACACACACACACACACACACACAAACTGTTTCCCAAATGCCTGTCCGAGACTAAATACAAGTTGCCCCATCACAGCAGCCGTGATGGTCATGCCAATTTCACAGTGTGATTTGTGCACTCATTTCATTCTGAAAATGACCCTGCCCTCC